TTGGAGAACTTGTCAATTACGACAAGGATCGCGTCATGACCGCTTGTGGTAGTTGGTAGCCCGGTGATGAAGTCTAGGCTGACCACTTGCCATGGCTATTCTGGGACAGGAAGAGGCTGCAGCAGACCCGCCTTTTTCTGCTTGCTGCTCTTCATCCGCTGACATGTAGTGCACGAGGTGACGAATTTATGTATGTCATCTGCCATGTGGGGCCAGTAGTAGTGTTTGGCGATACCGGTGAGTGTCTTGTTGCTACCGAAGTGTCCCGTGTACAGGACGTCGTGGTATTCTTCGAGTAGTAACTGGCGCAATGGAGGGTAATTAGGTACCCAGATCTTCATTGATCCTTTCTGTACGCGATGTCGTTATCCCACTGTAGCAGGTGTCGCTTTTCTGCTAAGGGAATTTCTGGGTCGATGGTATACCCGTGTATGAAGAGTCCCTTGAGGAACGGATTCATCCCTTCAATTTGGATAGCGGCAACGTGTGCAGGCCGGCTAAGTGCGTCTGCTTTGTTTCTGTGGCCGGGCTTGTACACGATGTCGTAGTGGAAGTGTGTCTCGAGGAAGTCAATCCACCGGACCTGTCTCCTGGAGAGGCTTGGTTGCGTCTTCAAGTATTTTAGGCTGCAATGGTCAGTGTAGACTCTCGTCTTGCGTCCTTCGAGAAAACATCTCCACTTTTTGAAGGCGATGATGATAGCAAGGGCCTCCTTGTCGTGTATCGGGTAGTTGAGTTCTGCTCCATGTAATTTTTTGCTGAGGTAGGCAATTGGTTGCAGACCATTCCCCTGGTCTTGCATCAAGACTGCTCCCACTGCCTGGTCGCTGGCGTCAGCTTCGATGACGTAGTCGCGTTCGGGGTCTGGCAAGATGAGTACGGGTGCGGACGTGAGTGCTTGTTTCAGCTGCTCCATGGCTTCCTGGTGTTGTAGCTCCCATTTATAGGGCGTGTTCTTTTTTAGCAGATTCGTGAGTGGCGCGGCGATCTTTGCATATTGTGGCACGAACCTGCTGTAGTAGTTAGCAAAGCCAAGGAACTGCTGTAAATCCTTCACGTTCTCGGGTGTCTTCTACGTACGCACAGCTTCGATTTTCTTGGGGTCGACGTGATCTCCTTGAGCGCTTACGATATGTCCAAGGAATTGGACCTTCTCGAGGGCGAAGTCGCTCTTGGATAGTTTGACGTAGAAACGTTCTCGTCGAAGAATTTCGAAGACGCGTCGTAGGTGCTCGACGTGTTATTGCATGTCGCGCGAGTAGATGAGGATGTCGTCCAGGTACACCACCACGCATTCGTCCAAGAGTGGGCATAGGATATGATTCATCTCTGCTTGGAATGTTGCAGGTGCGTTGGTGAGTCCGAACAGCATGACCAAATACTCGTACGATCCGTACCGAGTTCGGAAAGCAGTTTTGTGAACGGAATCGTCCGCCATTCTTATCTGCTAGTATCCAGACCGCAGACCTAGTTTTCAAAATACCGTAGCTCCCCGAAGCTGGTCAAGCAGGTCATCAATTCGTGGTATCAGATATTTGTTCTTGATGGTCTGCTTGTTGAGAGCTCGGTAGTCAATGCACATGCGCAGGCTTCCGTCCGGTTTCGGTGTGAAGAGTACCGGGGCACCGTATGGCGAAGTAGATGGTCGGATGAGTCCTTTGGCAAGGAGATACTCGATGTGCTTCTTCATGTCGGCTAGTTCTGCGGGGCTTAGCCGATATGGTGCTCGGAAGGTCGGTTTCGAGCCTGGTTCCTCCACGATCTTGTGTTGGTGCGTTCGGTATGGCGGTAGTTCGTCCGGGAGGTCGTCGGGAAGAATGTCTTGGAACTCCTTCAGCAAGTCCTTGTTGTAGATGCTTGCGGTGCGGTTTACCCAGTTGATCTCACGGTTGAATTTCTTGAGGAAGTCTCGCCCGAAGATCAAGTTAAGCCCTTTTATGTTGGTGATAGGGAGAGCAGGTTTCCAGTGCAGTGGACTGATTTGTAGGTGTAGCACTGCTTCGCCGTACACTGGTAACTTGCTGCTGTCCACCATCGTTGCAGAAAATGTTGATGGCTTGTAATCTTCTCGAAGTCGGTCGATGGTTGCCGTGTCGCATACTGTGTGCGATGCTCCGCTGTCCACGAGTGCTTGGAGGCGTCGTCCTTTGCAGATGACCTCGAGCACGAGGGGCAGGCGTTGCTCGGAGTACCCAAAGATAGTTTCATTGATAGGGTCATAGGGTACATCCCAATATTCGTTGCTTCCTACTCCTGAGCTGGCAGCTGGCCAAGGCTGCTTGGAGAAAGGCTCTTCTTTTGGGCCTGGAGTTTCCGTGACGACTATTCGTGTCGTTGACGAAGTTGCGGAGTTGGATGCATCCGAAGAAGGAGTTCAGGGTTTTTGCAACTTCTTGTAGACCCCCAGCTTCCTTTTGAGCTGCTTCAGCTCCACCGACGTCTTCCCTGGGGAACGGGTAGTCGCTGTGGGCTGGTGTCGGGAGAGGATGTTGACTCCGTGGAAAGGTCGGCTTCTTTCCACACTCCTTAATTTGGTCCCCAAGTTCTCCGGTACCGGTACGATCTCCACAATTTTCTGCTTCTTCTGGAGTCCCTCCCGAAATTTCTCCAAGGCTCTAGCCCCTCGAGAATTACAAGTTTTCATTAAAGCATCTTTGTAAGATAACTTTAACAAATCCTTATAATTTCTTGGGTCTTCAAGGAGTTTCCCCGTCTCAGCAGAGTCCTTTTTCGCGGAGGTAGATTTTTCCTCGGCGATTTCCTCTGGCAAAGACTGGTCGTGGGGTGGAGATTTTTCCCCATCATTTTTTCCTGTTCGTGTCGAATCAGCTGCGTCGAAGTTGATTTTTCCGGAAGTACGCGGCCGCTTTCGGATCATTTCTTTTTCGCCAGCTAGATCCGCAATCACTGGCGAGTTCCGTTTTTGGCTTCTGACTGGCCGAAGGATTTCCGCCACTGTTGCGTGCCCGATACTCAGTGCCTGCGGTTTTCATTTTGTTGCAGTCGAAGATTCGATGACCCGGCACCCCGCAAAATCACACGTGTAGTTGGTGTTTTTCGGACATGGCCGCCCTTCGAACCTGTCGACTTCCATCGGGTCGGCGAACGTGGTGTGAGCCGAGCGGTCGCCCTGTCGCGTACTGCCGACGTGCGTCCGTTGTGTTCCGGCGTTGACCATGTCGAAGCGTTCCCCAGCCGATACAACGTCACTGTAGCTCACGTAGTTTGTCGCTGCCACTTGTCGTTTGACTTCGGTCTTCAGCACGGCAAGGTACAATTGTACTTTTTCCCCTTCGGTCAGGTCAGGAATGCGGTTATAAAATTCTCCATCTGCTGCGTGTACTGCGCTACACTCCCGAACTGTCGATGGCGATGAATTTTTTCGCGGACAAGGAAACCCGAATTTATCGGCTCGAAACGTTTCAGCAGGTCGGTGCGGAACTGCTGCCACGTGGCTTCGCCGTGGATGAACGTGCTGTTATCGCCGATCCACTCGAGTGCCGGCCCTCGCATCAGTGTCGCCGCGAGTCGTACTCGTTGATCGTCCCAGACTGGCGAGCTCCATCCGACGGCTGCGAAGTAGATCTCCATGCCGGCGATCCAACTGCGGACGTTGGAGTTTCAATCGCTCGGATCGATCGGCTCAGGTGGGCACGGTTTCGGAGCCTCAAGAAACTGCTGCGACTACTGCGTCGTCGCCGTTGTCGTTTCGTGTTGTGCTCCGGCGAGTCGAGTTACTCGCTCGAACTGGTTTCGCCACGCTTCGCGATCCGCTCGCATCTCCTCCTGAAGGGCTGCGATGCGCGCGAAGAGCTGCTGGGTAACTTCGGCGTTGTCGAAGTTCGCCATCCTGTTCAAAACACGCGCGGAGGGGGTAATTCGGAAAAACGCGGAGCTGGTGCTTACCAGAATCGGCGTCGAATTGGTCGCCCCCGGCGGTTTTTCGAAGCAGGAGTCCCGTTGCTGCTGCTTAGCTGAGCGCGGTCGAGTGAGAAAAGCTCTGATTACCAAGTGTTACAGGATCGAATGTGTTGAGGAAAGGTTGCAAGGCGCTTTTATACTTCCAAAGTACATCAGGTTATCAGGTTTATCTTATCCTAAGGGAATAGACCCTTCTAGAAGATAGAATCACCCTGCGTATAGCCACGCGAGGCTATTGGCTTTAAGGGATCACGAAAGGTTTACGCTAGATATAGCGCAGCAGTACATCCCGAGCCTTGTCGGTGATATAATGATAATAACAGGATAAACCAAAGGTTTATGGAAAAGGAGAAATAGGAATCCAAATGGAATGAGATAAAAACCAAATGGATCAGGATAAAAAGAGGAATGAAATAGAAAGGTGTGCACTTGGGGATGGGGTGTGCACTTGGGGATTGCAAAGGATCACAAGGGGTGGTTGCAATGGGACTTGACCAACCAAAAACTGACTGTGTCAAGGGATGTGAAGTTCCTTAAATCCTTGTACTACAAAGAATGGAAGCAGCAACAACTGAAGCCTCCATCTACACCGCTAATTGTGGAGGCAGGTGAGGTGCAGCGGCCTTCAAGACAGGTGGAGGTTGTAGTGTTTGAGGAGGAGATGTCTGGGGTGACTGAGGAAGGGGAAGCAGCTGAGGTGGAGCAGCAGCAGCAGCAGCATGAGTCTCCACCTCGAGTTCCACACCCACCTGAGCGTCCTAGGAGGGATGTGCACCCTCCTGTGAGGCTGACCTATGGGGGAAGAGGCAAGCCAAATGTGGTGCAGGCTGGGAGTGTGGTTGAGTAGAGTGAGGAAGATGAGATTGCATTGTGCTATTGGGCTGCAATTCCTCAGCCCAAGGTACTAATGATAGCTTCAACTTAGTGAAAGCGGATGGCACCAGCATTGGGGGTTATGTGTGCTTGCTGGGAGGTGGTGCTGTGAGCTGGCGCAGCAAGAAGCAGAATAAAGTGGGATTGTCCTCATGTGAGACTGAGTACATGGCCTTACACCATGGGGCCAAGGAAGTGGTGTGGCTAAGGCGCTTGTTGGAGGAGTTGGGAGTTGGTCAGGAGGAGCCGACAGTTGTGTTCTGTGACAATGAGTCTGCAGTGAAGCTGGCCAAGAATGCTTGTCTGCATGGGCTGACAAAACACATAAGGCCAAAGTGGCATTGGGTGAGGAGACTCCTTGATAAGGAGGTGCAGCTGGAGATAGTGAAGACCCATCAGCAGGCAGCAGATATTTTCACTAAGCGTGTGGCGGAGGCGGATCATTGGAAGGGCATGAAGCTTGCTGGATGAGTGTGCATTGAGTATGCATGCTTGAGATGTGGCATGATGGATGATGGTTGGCAGCCAGAGGGGGAGATTGTTGTGTGATGTCATCATATGCTATCACATTCTGTCTGCCTCCCATCCCATGTTTTCTACTTGCATGTGTAGTTTGAACGTGTGCAAGAATTTGTGTGTGGTGTGTTCTGGAGTTTGGGAATGTGTTTTGTGTTATTTTGTTTGAGCAGGTATTTTGTGATGATAGTTCTTGAAAAGATCTTTCCGACGCAACGAGAATCCCTTCAATCGGAGCAAGAGCGCGAAAGGTATGAAGATTCAAAGTTCATGAGCTTGCGTTACAATTGCGGCGGTTACAAAGTGAAGTTGTGGGGTGACTCACTATGGAGTTGGGACCTTTGAGGGTTGGGAAAATTCGTCACTCTACTGTAGCAGTTGCAAATTGGTTGGGAACAACCAAGCTAGGTTGGCAAGGATGGCCAACTTGGATGGATTGGTTGGGAAGGGACAAAGGTCAAAGTTGAGGTTCCTATAGGGAGGGAACTTTGTGCTTTTGGGGTTTCCTTGGTTGGGGACTCTCTTGGGACCTTCCCTCTCATCCCTCTCTTCCTATCCTAACCTTTCTCTTGCTCCTCAATTCCATGTGAGATTCTGGAACAAACAAGCCCAGCTTCGGCTATCGCACCAAGCACATTGCCCTGCGATACTGTTTCGTCAAGGACGAAATCGACAAAGGAAAAGTGGACCTGACATACTGTCTGTGAGAGTCCTTCGCGAATAGTGGAGGTTGATGTGATGTACTCTGCATCGGCCGACGAGAGGGCAATCAGCTCCTGTATCTGTGAGTTCGAGGAGATAGGTCCAGTAGGCTCTAGTTGGAAGAGAAATCCAGTGCGAGGGCGGCGGTTAGCGGGATATGCGGCGTGGTCAGCGTCAACGTAGCAGTGAGTTGGAATGTGGGTGTGGTGATGGTGGAGTAGGAAAGGCCGATGTGGATTCGAAACGAAATAGAGGAGAACTCATTGTAGATGTAGGAGGTTTTCCTCCTCATGTTGCTGAGAAAACTGGGCGAGCTGGCTGGCGATGTAGGATAGGTCAGGCCGGCAAGTGACAGTGGCGAACAGTAGAAATCCGAGCTGTTGCTCGTAGAGTTGGTGAGCGGAAGGAGCGAGTGTCTTGGTTTCAGGCTTGTAGCCGGCGGCGGGAGTGCGGTAGGGTGTGGAGAGTGGCACCAGTGTTACGTTAAATTTCTCCGCGAGAGTCTCGGCATACTTTGATGGGGAGAGATTGGATGGCGTCTAGCGTGTAGATGTTGAGCCCGAGGTAATGAGTCACGATCTTGGAGGTAGTGATGTCGACGCGTTGTCCCAGATTGTGCTCAAACTGATCGTTTAGGTCGGGGTTGGTGCCGGTGTAGAGCACTTCGTTGACGTAGACCGTGAGGAGGATGTAGTCTCCACGGAAGTGGAGACGGTACATCCCTGGGCCGTCAGGTAATTGAAGGAACCCAATCTCCAACAGGATTTCGTGGAGATGCTGCTGCCAGAGAAGGGGTGCATGCTTAATCCCGTAGAGGGAATTTTGCTGATGCATGGGTCCCCGTCACCGTACATATGGTGTTTCTCTACAAAGATCACAGTGTCAACCTTTGCGTATAGGAATGCATTTTCTACGTTGATGCTGAAGCGTTGGTCGTAGCCTCGTACGGCCCATCGAGCCTTGCATCGCTCAACGTTCCCTTGGGTGTCCGTTTTGATGCGATAGTCCTACTTCCTAGAGAGTATCTTTCTCCCCTTTGCTGCTGCGCGGTCAACAAGGATCCAGGTGTCGCGAGAGCAGAATGCAGCTATTTCCGTGTCCATGACCTCGCACCATTCGGCGCGATGAGGTCCGGTGAGAGCCGGTCGTGGTGTCTCAGGCTCGATTACGGAGGGGCTCTTGTGGACTGAGAATGTGGAGGCTAGAGAATCGAAGGTTGCGGTGCCCATCGTCAGTGGCCTCTTGCACGCCGTTGTCCAAGTCGGCGACGTTGTTGTCTGCGAGGGTGCCAATGGTGTCATCGCGACGCAGAGTGACGGGTGAGGGGTCGAGTGGAGCATCATCCGCATCATCGTTGTTGTCAAAGCGAGGGCTCTCCCCCGGGGTTTCCTCAGGTGGGTCCAGGTCCAGGCGTGCAGCGGCGATTTTGTCTTCTGGATAGGCAAAGCTGCGCTCTCCTCTTGCCTAGGCTGCTTGGCGATTGGCATAACGGTCGTCCTGGAACTGCTTCAGGGTGAGTCGTTCGTAGAAGAGGACGTCCCTGGAGGGCACGATGGTGGATTCCCCCAGGTCCAGGATTGTCCATGCCTGGTAATCTTGAGAGATGCCGAGGTGTACCCCCCAGCGAGCTCACTGTTCGAACTTGCCAGTGAGGGCAGTACTAGATCATGTAGCCCCAGACTCGGAGCATGGTGGTGTCAGTTGGTTTCCCTGTCCAGGTCATGTAAGGGGAGAGTTTCCCGTCGTTGGTGGTGGTGGACAGTAGGTTGTGTAGTCAGACGGTGGTGCATTGAGTAGGGCCAGTATTCTGTGGGTAGTCCGGACTGGAGCATCATGGCCCGTACTTTGGTTTGTAGAGTTCCATTGGTCCGTTGAGCGAGGTGAGCATCTGGAAGAGAGAGCATGTGCTTGATCCCAAGTTCTTGGAGATGAGTCTGTAGTTCCTCACTCCGGAATTCTCGAGCTCCATCCGTCTTCTAGTACTTCAGTTTCTTTCCAGATTGTTGCTCAGCAAGAGCAAGCCAAGGTCAGAAGGTATTGAGTACTCCCCCTCTGTTTTGGATGTTGACTGCCCAGACGTAGCGGGTGGCAGCGTCGATGACGGTCAGTGTGTACTGTTCCCCATGGAGTCCTTCTTGTGCGAGCATGAGGTAGTCGCTGTAGACTTTGTCCAATGGTGTGCAGCGATTGGGACAACGAGGAAGGTTTGGGAATGGGTTGCGTATGAGGGAAGCTTAAGGGCAGACTGTGCAGGTGCGAGGGGCTTGGATTTCTTGAAGCTCATGTCCGTCAGAGTCTAGGAGTGCTCTAGGGGCGAAGTCTAGGAGTGCTCCAATGCTGCTGAGGCTGCAACCATAGTTGCTTGTACTGCGTCTGCTGCTTCTGGGCACGTTGGTCCGTATCTGGCAGCTTAGGTTCTGAGAGAGCTTGCCCAGGTATCCATGTCCGAAGCAACTATCTAGGTACCGAGTGTGGTAGTTGTCGCGGTTGTTGCAAGCGATCATTGCGATCCTCGGGGTCAGCAGGTAGGGCTGGTTTGACTTGTGCATGCGGTGGTCCCTTGGGAAGTCGTCCCAGCTTTGTCTCTCGCCTCCAGATGTTGTGTCGGTGATGTAGGGTGTCGGCTCCAACAGGGGAATGGGGAGATTTCATTCCAGCTCCTCTTCATCGATCTCGTAGCTGACGTGCTCGTTGTAGGGGTTGTTATATTCCTGGGCCGCTATTGCCGGCTCGAAGTCTTCTTTACTTGGGCGCAGTTGTGGCACGCGGTGACGTCGATTCGCTCGACATGTCGGACCCCGAGCTCTCATTGCCATGAAGACTTGGCGGTGGACTAGTTGACCATGGGAATTTGGCTGAGTCGGACAAGGGTCCGAGGATGCAAGAGGGCTGGGGACTGGTCGCTGGTCCGTGTCGGACGGGCGACTGGTCTGGCGCAGGTCCTGGGGGGAAGAGTCGATGGGTCTCCTCTATTGGATTAGGTGTATAGGATTGTCTTGTGCTGCTTCCTGCTTGGCTTTGGCAGCGCTCGATAAAGTGTCTGAAAGTTTTGCTGTATTTGCAAAAAAAATGGCGATTGCGCGTGTCGTAGCATAGCTCCTTCTTGTCTGAGGAGAAGGCAAGCTTTTCTTTGTGCAGAGCTCTCTCCTTGTAGAGGTCCATATCCTGCTGCTCAGCCAGCAGTATCGCGCAAAGGGTCGCTTCAGAAATTTTGCCCTACAGGTGTAGCAGCACCGTGCACGGTTGCCATTCGGGGGAAAGTCCGGCGAGCACGATTGTCACGAACATATCTTCTGTGATTGTGTTCCCGAGCTTGACGATCTGGTCGCGGATGCTTCAGTAGTGATTGATGTAAGTGTTGACCTTCTCTCCCAAGACCATCTTTCACTTCTAGTAGATGGCCGAGCAGTCGACTCAATGATACGAAGTCCTTCGGCTAATAGAGGTTCGTCAAGTATAGCCAGGAGTCTCGTGTCGGAGCGGCGCGAATTTCGAACGATCGAATTCCGAGTTGCTGGGAAGCGGATAAGTTCCGCAGAAAGACAATGTACACCATGAGCGATTTGTTGTAGTATCAATGTTTTGCGTCTTCGGTGTCGATCATCGATCCGGGGTAACATCCGTCGAAATAGCAGAAGATTTGGGCGCACTGCAGTAGTAGCTCGAACTTGAAACTCCAAGTGAAGAAATCGCGACCGTTGAAGATAGAGCTTGTTCTGATCTTAGAAACAGCAAAGAACTTCAATCGTCCTATCTGCAGGGCTTCGTCATTTAATCGTACGCTTGCCGGTGGTTGCGTGTTGGGAGCACTGAAGTTAGCCAGGAGTAGAGTCCTTGTCTGCAGAGGTTGCTTGCGTTTCAGTGGTTTGGCGAGCGGTTCTCGAGCCGTCGATCTTGAGAGATTGAATTCGCTCTTCAAGAGTTGACATTCCTTGGAGCAATTTTTCGAGGAGCTCTGTGGGGACGGAAGTGGTTGCCGCCGAATTTGGAGTGTTTGCATGTGCTTCGGGAAGAGGGCTTCCTTGGCCTCATGATCTCAAGCCTAGGGCCATTCTATGGCGGGAGCGAGTCAGTGGCGCCACGATATTTGAATTTAAAACTGATCTAGAGTGTCATGCATAGAATCCTAATAGGCTCTGTTTACTATGAAGCGATCCAATACAGTCCGTAGGATCTTCAGGATTGAACTGCAGTAGTGCGCTTTGCGGAAGCCATTGATTGGTTCGATCCACCCTGTCAGAGTGAATGTAATATAACAGTGTTGATTATAGCAATAGAATACAGGGTTTATAAAGTGATACAAGAGAATGTGAAGGGTGTAACTAAGAGGCAGTTAACAGGGGTACTTTCCCTTTGA